TTTGATTGGTTAATTATCACGGGTGATCACATGTAGATCCATAAAAATTAGCCAATCATATGAATTTCTTCCTATGACTCCAACTTGGGTTGGGTTCTACTCCGGAGTGCTCCGAGTAGTGTTTTGAACCGTTCACCCGAAAGTTCAACCGGAGCTGATCCGGGTAGACAGGACCCCGAATAATACTAATAGAGGTTACATTAGCTCTAATATAAACTTTTTACAAATTTTATCCAAAATCTGCAACTCTGATTGGTTGAACCTTATTTTAACCAATCAAAGTTGCAGAAAAGGGTTTACTAATTTACCCCCCATTATCTGATTGGATAACGATCTTCCTATCGCTGATTGGCCAAAATTGTTGCATGCAGTCCCATGATGATCTGCATTAGATTTCATTAACTAAATTTTAACGTTAATTTTTTAAAACTTCTAGCGACAGTTTCTCAATGACTACTAGGTCAAATTTACTAATTTTTTTTTTTTTTAATCTTACACACATGTAGTATGAAAATAAAAAAAGTTTTATTAAAATTAGTCTAGTAGTTGTTGAGAAATATTCGAATAAAGTTTTAAAAAAAATGTTGATCTTAGAAAAACAAGGCCAAAATCGTATTTTTCAATTTTTCAATAACCACTAAACCAATTCGAAGGAGTTTTTTTATTTTAATTCTACAATATTGTATAATTAAAATAAAAAAAAAATTTGAATTATATTAGATGGTTGTCAAGATACTTTTGCTTAAAATTTAAAAAACCTTTGTCGCAACATATTCAAAAATTGAACTGTTATCTTAACGTTAAAATACCCTATATATTTAATGCATGACTAATAATAATTGTCAAGTATAAATAAAGATTGGCAATTGTATGAGGGTTTTAATCAATATGGATATAAGATTGAGTGGATTATTGTATTTGTCGTGCCGCAGAAAAATCATATATATAAAATCATGAGCTTATTGAAATGGTAGTTGTCGAAAAGCATGTGTAGTAACTAAATTGAACCTTTCTGAATTTGCTCACAAAATACTTATCATAGTATAAGTTTTTATGAAAATCATTACTCGCTCTGTATCAAAAAGTATTTATACAATTATATGATACATGAAATTCTTTAATTATAATCGAAGCTTTTTACACTATTTGATTCGCCTCATCAAAGCTAATCGTATAGTATAATTTTTAATCAATAAATCGTGTATAAACTTTAATACAATTTGACCTGCCACTTTACTCACTTTCATCAAATTGCCCCTTTACCTTATATTTTACTACAGTTGTATTTTTATTACTGTATTATATATGAAATAATTTATTACATTGTAGAATAATCATAATAAAAATATAATTCTGTAGTATATACTAAATTAATGTTTAACCAATAAATGATAAATTGATAAAATTTTAAGATCTCGCATACATAATAAGAATTAGAAATTATTTTGCTTTCTAAACTTAGCATTTGATGCAATTTGAGAGTTTGTCAGTTCACTAGTTTGTGGTATAACCTCAATTCTGGCAATTCTCACCCTTTTCCTTTGTGCAGTTTGCCGAAAAGCTTCTCGCAGACTACGAATATCACGTCCTTCCTTTTCTTTCCATTCCACAATAATTGCAGCAAGATCTTCTTGGAGCTTCTTTCAACATTTTTATTATATGCTTCAACGTCAACGTTTTCTTAATTAAAAAAATTTTGAATTAATTACTATACTTATTGTATAAGGTCAACAAAATTAGAGATTTATTACTTACCATTTTCATTTTCTTTATTATCATTATAATCGTTATAATCAATGCGAAGTTGTGCTAACACCGAAAATATATGTTTGCAGGCTAATTGGCGTTTCTTGAAGTCTAAGCAAGTACAAACATATGATGTAACATCTAAATTGTCATTATTTGCTGGATGTCTCTTACGAACAGAATATTCAACGTTATCGTTTGTTACTGAACGAACCAACCAAGTATCTGATTGAATTTTATAGATGTCTTTTTTATTTATGCACTTGGTTCCAACAATTTCCCGTATATGCTGTTGGCGCTGTTGCTGATTCATTCGACCTATTTTTAAATTGTTTAAAAGAACAGAAAAATTCATATCCTGAAGGACAATTTCTACAAGCAAATAAACCTTACCATCGAGCATGCGCCCTGAACATCCCCTCATAAATGTATATTTTAA